AAAGTAAAACAAGACAGGGGAGAAAGAGTCCTCCCCTTCGCATGATCCACATAATGGGTGTTGTGTACCGGGAACTCCAGCAAGGTGGGTATTACTGGGCATCTCAACAACACAGTGTGAGAATCACTCTCTGGGCCTCTCAGAAATTAAGAGGAGCATTTCTCGAGGAGCTGGGGTCCTTTATTAACCTGGGGGCAGGAGCTTGAAAAACTATATGAAAGTCTGAATCACAGGCTATCAAAGCTGAAAGGAACTATAAAGATCAGCTAGTCTACTGGTTCTCAAACTGTGTTCCATAGAGATTCTCAAGGGTCTTGAGGGTGGAGAGCTGCAGATGAAATAGAAACGTCTCATAGTTCAAATAAGGGAGGATTTGGTGCAAGAGAATTTTCAGTAAAAGTACAGGGATGAGCAGGTGAATTAACCAGTCTAGATCAAATGGCTAGTAAGCGGGGGAGCTACGATGAGAATCATGACTTCCTGGCCTCTCATGTGCCTTTGTATGTGTGGGACTTTAGCTGCTACTTTGGTAATGTGGTAGCTGCAAGTAAGTTACTCAGAATGGAAAGAATTTGGAGGTCACGGTTATATTCCTAGTCCTGTGAGAGGGGCAGATAGTATCTGCCTTTTAGATGCAACTGGGTGACTCTAAACAAGTATGTTTTTCCTGTAGTCTGCTTTTTATTATTTTTTATCCTCAGGCTCACAAATCAACTGGGGCAGAGATTCCGACAAAAAAAAAAAAGCCTAATGGAAGGAATATGTTTGTTTCTAATTTAGAATAAGAACAACCACACCCCACAGATCAAAATCCATGGAAACTTCCACTGCCCTGCAGCTGTATAGAGCAGCCTTTCTGAGTGAGTTCTCAGAGATACTTAATGTGCTCCCGAGAAAGGATTCCATATTCCTACTCTGGGGGATGTGCCATATTATATCCTTGTCTTGGAGGTTCATGTTGCACATTGGAAAGTCTCTGAAGAGCTCTGCAAAAGATGTCTGTTTAATCTTAGTCCAATATGTTGCAGACTTGCTTGTTTGTGGAAACTTTTATTCATGGAATATCTGTTAGCATCCTACAGAAAACACTTGGGAAATGCTGAGGTAAAGACTGCTAACTGGGAACAGAGAAGTCTGGGTTGTGGTCCTGGCTCTGCCGCTCACTTGCATTTTTCTCTCCCCTTTGGACCTTGTGTTTTTTTGTTTTTTTTTTAATGCAAAAAAAAAGGGTTGAAATCAATGACCTAGAGAAAAAGGACTACCACTGACTGCGTATTGACTCTGCCAGGTGCTGATATGCCATCAGGGCCTCATATTTAAAAGGGCCCCATACATGGTTTAATCCTCTGCTGTCACCATCTTGAAATTTAAAATAATTTTTAAACCAGGATCTCTGGATTTTCATTTTGTACTGGAACCCACAAACTATGCAGCTTGTCTTGTGTAGATAGATAAATAGGTAAATGATAGGTGGATAGATATTATCTCTGACATTATCTATAATCTTCACATCAGTCTAATGGGAATGTATGTGCATCCCTATTTGTGATACACAACACGGAAGCCGGAAGCCGAGAATAAAAGAGATTGTGTAAATTGCTCAAGGTCACGTAGGCAGTGAACAGCAGGGCCAGTGTTTCAACTCAGTCCATTTTGCTCTAGAGCTTATGCTCTCATTAGACTAGTTGCCAGTACAAACGTTCTAGGATTCTAAGATCCTTTTGTTCTTCAAACTACTACTAGATCTATCTCATAGTTCAAAAATGTGCTGATCCCATTCATTGCCTGGCTGAGTATTTGGCTAAATGAATTAGTGAGTGATGGACTAAATGCCGGTGAATGAATGGCTATAGAAGTTACACATGGAGTCCAACAAACCTGGTTCTCACATTTACTAGCCATGTGGCCTGGGGCAACTCACTCAGCCTCTTTGTCTCTGTCCACATCATAGGTGTGTTGTGAGGATTACATGAAACAATATATTGCCTAACACGTGATAATCCCTCCAAACATTATTACTCTTCTTTTATTAACGTGCCCAGGTTAGATCTCCTATTGGTATCAGAGCTTCAAGTGTTGGAACCATTGTATTCGTTCAACAACAGGTATAAGAACATCTTTACTATTTTTCTAAATCTAATAAAGTTTAATTTAACTCTACCCCCACTTGCCAGGTTGCTGGGATATCCAATTTCAGAACATTTGTAGGGATGCAAAAACTGCAGGGTGTGCCTAATCTAGAGAATCTGGGGAACTGTCATCAGTCCATTGTAGTTGTGGCTCGTTGCCTGAGGAGGTGTGTTCCAGGCAGATGTGTGTGGCCTGGGTACTTAAGGCATTTACTCCTTCCACTCTAAATCTGGCCACTAACAGTTACTATATGGCCCCCAAAGCCCAGGTGTAGCACTCATGTCCTCGGTGTCCTTGTAGTTCATCACTGCTAGGGAGACTGAGAGAGAGGTAAGTAAGGTTCCCACCACCCTGCCATCCTCCTGGTTTTACAGAGTTCAACTCTGCTCCCCTTCAGCCTTCTGAGCTTTACCCTCACAGTACTCCAGCTCTGTCCCGTCAAGAATGTGTGTGTCAGATGCCCTGGCTGGCGTGGCTCAGGGGACTGAGGCCGGCCTGAGAACTGAAAGGTTGCCGGCTTGATTCCCAGTCAGGGCACATGTCTGGGCTGTGGGCCACGTGCCCAGTTGGGGGGAATGCAAGAGGCACCGATCAATGTATCTCTTACACATTGATGTTTCTCTCTCTCTTTCTCCCTCCCTTCCTCTCTCTAAAGGTAAATAAATAAAATATTTTTGAAAAAGTGTACATGTTGGAAATAGAAACCTCTAAATGTTTTTCCCCTGAGGTAAAGAAAGCCTTCCAACCTACGAAAACTAGTTGTCCTTCCAAAAGGGTACACAGAAAATTTTTCTTTAAGTCTTTTCACCAAGTGTATAGCAGAAAAATCTTAACTGATTTAATTCATTCAGTTATATAATGTTCTCACAATTTTCCATCTTCTGTGAAGACTCCCATGATCCCTTGCTCCCTTGGCCACTATAGTTCCCATCTAAGCCTGTGTGTCTTATCTTTAGTACAAACCAGGCAGCGAAGAAGGGGCGTGGGCAAATTGACAGGACCAGACAGACTATATTACTGATTCTCTCCCTTTTAGGTGAGAATCATTGCAGCCAACCGTTTGGAATTCCACATTTCTTTTTTTTAAAAAGATTTTATTTATTTATTTTTAGAGAGAGGGGGAGGGAGGGAGAGAGGAAAAGAAACACTGACATGTGGTTGCCCCTGGTGTGCTCCCTACTGGGGACCTAGCCAGCAACCCAGGCATGTGCCCTGACTGGGAATCGAACCAGCAACCCTTTGGTTTGCAGGCTGGCACTTAATCCACTGAGCCACACCAGCCAGGGCTAGAATTCCACATTTCTGATTTTCAGAACCCATTGGGAACAAATAAAACAACTGATGATGACAGAAACTCATTCTTTGGAAGCCTTGATTTATGAAAATACATTTATGTGGAATGCACAGAGGGCTTGATGACAGAGTGTTGGAACAGGATAGGACACTGATGTCCATGGAATAAATAAAAGAGAAGGAAGCATTAGTCCAACAGTTCTTCCCTCTAGTGCAGACAGTTACTCCAGGTGTCTGCCGGGGGGAGGGCGAATTCTGCTCAGAAAAGTAGCAGCATAGCTGTGGATCTGTAGCGCTGGGCCCTCTAGTGGCTGCTTCTCATTCAAGGACCATAACTGGCTGTTTTCTGCATGGCCAGTCTCTGTCACGGCTGCACTGTCTTCTTTTTGGCTTTGCTGGAACCACTAACTGCCTCCATCCATGTTCTGTCATCCCTTTCCTCTCTCATCACTGACACCAACTATGGAACAGGCTCAGAGCTAGGGCACAATTCTTGAGCAATTGATTCCTTTGAAAACACTAAAACGGAGAGTTGCATGCAAGTTTTGTGGGGGAGTGCGCTTGGCAAATACACCAGTAAGGAAGTGAGGAAGTGGAAGTGGGCTGAGGAAGAAGCTAACTCACAATATGGTTGTAACTGAAACCTCAGCTGATCCTATGGGGAGTTCTGGAGCTGAGCTGGCCCTCAGAGTTGTCCCAGATTGAGGCTGTGCAACCAGGCCTTTGTATCCCTGCATCAGTCTGCCATTGTGAGCCATCTTTGGGGGGGCGGGGGGGGTGTAACCTTGGGTGAAGTAGCTCCCTGTGGCCCAGGGCAATGTGCAATGAGGGATGCAGCTGGGAGCTGTCAGCAGCTCAGGTTCCTAGCGGCGGGGTCATGGATGCAATGGGCCCAAGTGTCTGTGCAGAACATCACTATATCCACTCCTGGGAGTCTGCAATCACTTTGTGGGCTCAGAACACTTTTTTATATCTCTCTTTTGTTAGTTTCCCTTGATGCAAGGAGGAAAGGTCCATAAATGGATGTCAGGAGACATAGATTCTAGCAGACTCCTGCTGTGTGACCTTAAGCATACATCACCTAAATTATCTTGGCCTCAGGCTTAACAAGAGAATTCAATCACAATCCGTCACCATTTATATCTTACGAAATGCTCTCCCACCCACTTTTAACTGGACCACACTCTCTAAATCAAATAAAATAATGAAGATGGATATACTTTGAAGGATTGAAAACACAATACATACATGAGAGATTATGTTGCACAAAACTTAGGATAATGTTGAATCATTCCACTGATACTATGTAATTAAGCATCCACTTTGGGCCAAGCCTAATGCTACTGGACGGGAGTGTAGAAATGCATTAGACATGGTTCCTGCCTGCACCCTTGTCTTGTTTCTAGGAAAGGTACAATATGATAAAAATTATCATAAAATTATAAACAGGGCAGTAAATTGAGTAAAAGAAGCCTCTTTCGCTTAGAGAGGGACTGAAGGGGAGGGAGGCGGGGCAAAGTAAAATTTCATAGAAATTGAAAACAATTTTTTAAGTTTTTTTCTTTCTTTATTTTTAGAGAGAGGGTAAGGAAGAGACAAAGAGAGGGAGAAGAACATCAACGCGTGGTTGCCTCTTGCATGCCCCCCAGGGGCCTGGGCCACATGTGCCCTGACTGGGAATAGAACCGGCAACCCTTTGCTTCACAAGCCCGCACTCAATCCATTGAGCCATACCAGCCAGGGCAGAAATTGAAAATTTTTGTAAGAAGGAAAACTGAAGTCCATGAGGTAATCCTTGCCCCGTGATGGTAGGGACTGTGCCTATCTTTTCTTCCGTGTCCTTAGAGCCAAAGCCATTGCCTGACATCTAGGCACTTAATAAGTATCTGTTGAATGAAAGAATGAATGAATGAATAATAAATCAATAGCAGAACTGTGAAGCCTGCAGCTAACCCACAGAGCTCTCTTGAGATGAATTTAAATACTCTCCTTTCCCCAACAGTGGGAGATACACCAATAAATAACTCATTAGATCCTCTCTAGAGATGAAAACTTCTCATCTCCCAGCCAGTTCTGTGGCTGGCGTCTCTGTTGCCTTTGTTCCCAGTTTTGAGAGTCAGTGCTGAGGAAACTCAGGGACCCTCACACAAGAGGTGTGCCAATTAGTTTTATCATTTACTTCCATAATCTTTGTGATAATGCTCTTTTTCTTTTTAAAGTACTTGGCTGGGGATCAAAGGAGCTGGGCAAAGCTGAGATTCTGACTACTCTACCTGATCCCTGAAGGGGAACAGAGAGGCCAGCTACAAGGTCTGCTGGGAGAAAGGATCTGATGGGACTCGAAACTCTACTGTGGAACCCTGGCCAGTGTGGCTCAGTTGCTTGGAGCATCGTCTCATAAACTGAAAGTTTATGGATTTGATTCCTGGTCAGGTTGTGGGTACGGTAAGGCAACCAACTGATGTTTCTCTCCCACATCGGTATTTCTCTCCCCCTCTCTTTCCCTCACTCTAAGATCAATAAGCATGTCTTCGGATGAAGACAAAAAAAGAAAAAGCTCTAGTGGGGAGAACAAGGGCTTTCAATTCAGGGAAGTTGGTGTTAAAATCTAGACAGCTCTACATATTAAGTGAATGTTAAACAAGCTGTTTCGCTTCTGAGCTTCTGTTTCTTCATCTATGAAACAAGGATCAAAAAAATTACCTCAGGAGTTTTTAAAAGGGTGAAATAAGGTAACAAGCAAATTCTCATCACAGTGCCTGGCAGAGATTAATTACTCATCAAATATTAGTTCTTCTTTCTTTTCTTTCCTGTTTGTTAATTTCTGATCTGCTCCCAGGAGCTTATTCTCTGTCACAATTTAACCACTGCCACAGGTGGGTTCTCTGATTTCAGGAAGGCAGACCATGTTCTCGGTTTCTTAGTGGAACCTGTAAGAGGATTCTTCTTCCCGTACGAGGTTGGCTGAAAGCCTTGCTTGGTCTATTTCCCCCATACCTAGACCAAAGGCTTAGACATGACCATTCTAATGAGAGGAGAGACCAGTGCCAGCAAAAAAAAAAAAAAAAAAAACAAACAAGCAAAAGTCCCACTCCCAGGACTGGTTTAGTTATAGCCACAGGCTCCCACCCTAACCCCAGAAAACATGATCAAATGCCAGTAGCAGTGCTTCTTCCTTCTTGGCATGGCTGTGCATTTTTTGATGATGACCAGTCTTGGGGGAAGGACGAGAAGGGTGGGCGAACACTACTAGCTGTCCACCAAAATCCATGTGTTTCTTCCATAGTATTGGAGCCTTGGCTGGGACGCGGCTGCCCAGATGGGGCCTCACTTGCCAGCACCCCTCACAGTCAGCTGTGCCCATGCCACTCCCATCCATGGACGAGAGCAGCGGGCTTGTATGCAGCTTTTGCTTTGCTTAAGAGTAAATCTCTGGCCCAGGATTTCTGTTCTTTCTCTCTCCTCACTAACTAGAAATGCTTTCGCCATACTAAACTTGGAAGCTATATGTTGAGGATGTGATCATTGCCCCGGGTCCCTGAATGACTGAATAGGGCAGAGCTACACACATATTTGTAACACCACCTGGACCCTACCACATACGTGCCAAGGATGGTAGTTACTGTCCTGTCCGGTGTGGCTCAGTTGTTCGGGAGTCATCCTGTAGAGCAAAAGGTTGTGGGTTCCATTCCCTGTCAAGGCATATATGAGAGGCAACCAGTTGATGTTTCTCTTCCTCTCTTTTTCCTTCCCATCCCCTCTGAAAATAAATGAAATCTTTTTTTAAAAGTGAATATTTTAAAAAGTGAGTTAATGTAAAATGCTTACACAACTTCCTGATATGTAGATAATGCTCTTAACTATTAAGGCAGAGATTTCTTTTATCTTTTCTCTTTACTTACCTTACTTATTTTGTGCCTAAATGAGTGCTTGGCACACACTGGGTATTCAGTGAATACCTAGAATGAGTGATCACTGAAGTTTGGCTTCGAAGGCTCAAGGCCATATGCTGTGTCCGGCCAGCAGAGGGCAGGCCCAGTGCAGGCAAAAGAACCTGTGGCTGAGGCGGGCTGGCGGACTGCACTCCCAGACAATGGGGGTGGGGCGGGCAGGGGAGGGCTGAGAGGAGTACCTGTATCATAGAATATTAGAGTGCTTAAATTATACCACCTTAAAAGCCTAGAATTTTATTTAGTCCAACTCCACATGTGTGAGATATACTGAGCCCCTTCTCTGAATTCAGACAGGTAAGTAGTTCCAGGCCCCGAGATCCCTGGAGTCCGCCTGCTGCCCCCCACTCCTCTGGAGCTGGTGACTACCCTGTACTCCTCTCAGCAAGTCTTCTTTCCTGCTCATGCTTGTGTGTCTGTGTGTGTCTGCGTGTGTGTGTCGGGGGGTGGGTCTGTATCTTGCAAGCAAAACAAGTTGTCGTGTTTTATTACTGAGCCCTGGTAGTATGAGGGCTGTGTGAAGGGGTGCCTCCCCCTGCCACGGGGACACTGAAATCCAGAGCGGCCACGCTGGGCCTGCTTTCGCTCTTCAGGGTGGTGGTGCCTCATTTCTGTCTCCGAGCTGCCTGCGTCTTGTTCCCTTCACTCTGCCTGTTCAGATCTGTCCTATCTTTCAAAGTCCAGTTCAAATTCTACCTTTCTCTGACTCCTAGATCGACTCAATCTCATTTTTCAAAACTCTAAGCATCCATCACCTGCCCACTCATTCTTGCACGTGACTGCATTCCATATTTTATCTGGGAGTGGGGGTTGGTGGCCTCTGAAGTCCCATCCAGCTGCAGACGTCTGAGTCTGTTGTCTTCCCATATGTCACATTGTCTTAAGCAGGTAGGTCTGCACCTTCTCCCCCAGGGAGAGGTAAGGAAAGTCTTGAGCACACACGGGCTTCGCAGGTTTGCAGGGAGTGAACGTAACTGCTCATGAGAGCAAACATGTTCTGTGACCCTCTGTTCAAGAAATACGTGGACATTTATTTTTATTTTTTCAAAGTGGAAATAGCTCTCTGCCCCTCCCTCCCATCTCTCATTATACAGGTAACATACTTATGGTCAAATAGACTAAAAAGTACATAAAAATTTAAAGTAGAAAGGGACATCACCCATAATCCTTCTCCTCAAAGATAACTGATACCAAAATAGTTTTTCAGAGTTTTTGCTATACATAAAAATGCATGTTTCAATAGGGCCCTTTTAAGACCCCACAGAGCTTTCTTAAGTAGAAATCAAACCGAACAGTGGGAGGCCCCAGCCTAGGATTTGAGCTAGTGAAGTGTCCACCTGCCATGCTGCACATACTAGATGGACCCATAGCAAATACCGATATTCAGCTGTTTTTGACTCACAGGCAGTAATTTTATATGGTTCAACCTACCGTACACGGAGCCTGGAATGTCAGCACTGGCAGAATCTCAGAGACTTTAGGTCTGACTATTTCACTCTGCCAAAGAGGTAGAAAGAAGGTCAGAGGGAGAAGGTCAGAGAGGGGAGTGTTCAGCCAGCGTCAGCTCACATTAGTGGTAGAATCAGGACTGGTACCCTTTCCGCAGAGCCAGGTACCTGCCTTGCACACTCGGCTTCTTTTAATATGGTAACTTCCAGGTGTGGTGATAATCTTATGGAAGCAGATTGAAACTTTGTATCAGAAAATTTCTCACAGAACTCAGTCAAAACAGAAGAGGCTACATTTGAGGTGTGAAGACCTCATGGCTGGGGTCGTGGCTGGGAAGGACACCGTGACACTGTGACCTGGCTGGAGGCACAGGAACCTTGGAGCTCATGAGGCTTGGCATTCAGAGTCCTGCACAGGCATGGCTCCTTCTTAAGGTCTTAGGAGGGTCCCTGGGAAAGTGTCAAATAGTAATATATTTTTGTAATAGGTGCATAAGCAGGAGTGTTTTTGAAGGAGGGCTCCCAGAATTGTCTGACTTTTTGGCCTGGGTTCACCCTGTGTAGCAGTCTTGAGAAGCACTGGGCACAGAGACCAGAGTTCAAGTTCTGGTCATGGCACAGCTCTAGCCCAAGTGGGCAGAACAGCACTTGCTCCGCTTCCCTCCCAGGGTGGAAATCATGAAAACCATCAAATGTGAACAAATGTAAATAAGTAACACCATACGTCTCTGTCACGTGGGACAATCACTGCAGCTTCTCACCGTCAGCGAAGATAACACACACACACACACACACGTGTCCTCCACACATCTTGTTTACTTTCCCTCTGCCACAACTTCCTTTTCTCCTTCCTCAAGTCCCTAAACCCTAATACCCCAGCCACTAGACCAGTTGTTAGTTATTATCTTTTGCTACTTGTATATATTTGTTCATGATTCCCACTGTCTATCAAGTCTATCTTTGCTGGAAAAAAGTCCTTTTTTCCCCACAAGGCCTAGGTCTGCCTTTCTCTTCCCAGCCCAATAGTGCCATCCCTTAGCACTGTGTCTTGTTGACCTTATAGATAGGAACGCTGAGGCCTGATGGGATCCATGGCTGCGTTCTGGAGGCCCCAGAAGTCAATCAGTCTTCAGGTGTCTTGGTCTTCAGCATCCTGGGTTCCTAGCATCAGATCATAGTCACCCGGTTCTTGATGTACACGTGGTAGGGGTCACTGCGCTTGTCCACTTTGCGGGAGCGGGTGTATCCCAGGATGAGGCTGCCCACAGTGGCAGCAAACAGGAACATGACAAAGAGAATGTACATGTAGGAGTTGTCATCACGGCCGGGTAGGCTGGCCTGCCGCTCCTGAGTCAAGTTGTCTGGTCCTGGCCGGCAGAGCAAGTTGCTGTGAATAGTGGCATTTAGAGCCTTTAGAACAGCATGCAGACTCTCATACCAAGTCCCATTGGTGGTCTCCATAGCAACAGAGATTCAGGTGGGGAAGACTCGGAGGATACTCTGGTGGCAACAGAAAAGAGAAAGGGTGGCTTTCATGACCTGCAGCTTGAATGACCTCCTCACTCCTTCAGACCCCAGCTAAAACCCCAACATCACAGTTCATTCTGCTTGTTTCCGTGTCTGTCTTCTCCATAAGACGGCAAGCTCCATGAAGGCAGGGACTATATCTGTTTTACTCAGTGCTATATACAACCACTCAAGGCAGCACTTAATAGACGCTCAATAAGTACCTGTGGAATAAAGCCTTCTTTGACCATTGTAATCCATGTTGACCTGTCCTTTCTTTGGATTCTGTAAGTCACTGAGCTTTTGTCTACAAGGAACTCAGGGATTATTTAATCTAACACCTTCTGTTTTAGACACAGGGAAACAGTAGCCCACAGAGAACAGGTGGCTAGGCCATGATCCCAGAGAACATTTAGAGATAGAGCTGAGAGAGTCCAGCCTTCTGTGGGCCAGCTCAGAGCTCCTCGACCTTCATGCCAGCTCTTCATAGGACTGCATTGCATTATCGGAAGATACTCCTCAGAACTCTCCTTTAGCACAATTCCTTCTTATACTCCACATATACCATTTAGATGTTTGGGGATGGCTTAGGTTTCACCCTGCCTGGAACCAAAGGTGCGGTCATTGACCTCTCAAGCATCCTATGTCCCAAGCACTCAGGATTCCTAGTTATTTAGGATTTTTTTTGGAAAGGGTTCTGTTGGAAATTCTTTTGGAAAGGAGGTGGCCAGGAGGCAGGAAGAGGCTGAACACCACCTCAGGCCCTGGAGAAGAGAAGAGGGTTGGGCCTGAGGGTGGGGAGTGACGGGGCACTCGGTCTGGTTTGGGGTTTTACCTTCCGCAGAGAGACAAGATACAGCACCTCAACTATCCTGCCTTCTGACACAGTCACTGTGTTACCTGGCATATAAAAGATGATAATAAATATTCCTTTTCCTTCTCAGAGATCCTGAGTCTATAATAAAGAAAAACATCCAAAGACAGCCTTGCATCCTGGTCTCTAAAAAACTACATGCCATTCCATTTAAACAAGGCTCCATATCTACTTCTTTCTGGAAACCTGCACTGAGTGCTCCCCACCCCTTAACCACACTCCACAAGCTTCATCATCTCAGCCTTCCCTGTGGCCCAGCACGTACATATAAGGCAACATGTGGCTCTTCTCTTGTTATTGATAAGGGTATCAGCAGACCACATGCTCGTGGTCAGCAGAGCTGTGTCTCTCCCCCAAGTCTAGGGGTCTGTCCTGAGACTGACGAGGACTTCTCCTTCCCTGGAGGCCCACCCTGTCTCTGGCTAGGTGTTCTCTTTTCCTCAATAGTCTCCAGTAAAGGTGGCCACTTTAGGGACTTCTCCATGGTCCAAGCACCCAGAGTTCACTGACTGGTTCCAAACCTTCTGTTATCTAGGCAGAGCTGTCAGCCAACCAGAGTTAACAAACCTGGTTATTAACCATAAGGTCTCTTTCCCAGAAAATATGACAGTTAGTTACGACCATGATAAATATTCATGATCAACTCTAAGAATGCAGAAGTTAGGGGGGCAAGAATCTAAATGATAGAGCGATCACCTAGGACTGACTCACATTTCCTGCAAGGCTTTTGGGGCCCCATGCTACAGAGCACTTGAGCTACCTTATGTGAATGGAGGAGGGAAAGAGAATGAGGACTTGCTGAGTTAAGATCCAGGAGGCATAAGTCTCATCTACTACCCCACTTCTCAGGCAAGAGATGTGTACCTTCTTTTGTCCCCGTGTGGGCCAATGAAAAGCAGGGGCTGCACAATGAAATTATTGGTTCAACTAATCATTCAGCCAGTCATCGTTTTTGGAGGCCTACTTTTGGGCAGGCTCAGACCCAGTTCCTGCACTTGGGGGTACATTGCCAGCTCTTATATAATGCAGGGGGCACACCAGAGTCTACTGGGGCTTAAAGGAAGAAGGGGTTAATTTCGATCAGGGCTCAGAGAGTGTTCACAGTGATGGAGGCATTTCAGTGGACCTAGGAGGGTTTTTAGGAAGCAGAAAAGGCAATAAAAGGAAACAGATCAGCAAAGGCATGACAACCAGAAAGCGCACTAAATGTTCTAAAGAATGGAAAGTCGCATAAAGAGATTAGTGTGTAGGATGCATGGGAGGATGCCGCAGGATGCGGGATGGAGATATGGCCTGAACCAGATCACGAAAAGCTTGAGTGCCACCGAGCAGAGCTGCAACTTTACCCTGCAGTTGGGGAAGTGCCAGGAAACAGTATTTGAAAAGGGGTTAGAAAGATCAGATCTGTGCTTGGATACGACACTGGCTGCTATGTGGACTCAACTGAGGGCAAGACTTGAGGCAGAAAGCCCAGTTACAAGGGTCTTGAAATAGTTTGGCTGGAAGATACTGAGTCCTGAGCTGGGGCCTAGGGATTGACAAAGTGGGGGCAGGGATAGATGTGAGAGGCAGTTGCAGGAAGGAATGGCTAATGCAAGGGTTTACGGAGGAAGGGGTCTCCCTAAATCCTTCAGTTTTACAGGTAGACAGCAGACAGATGGCTTAAGCAGCTGGAGGGGCCCGCTTTGAGGGAAATAAATTTCTAACCCTGTTTGGGCTTCAGCTTCCTTATTTATCAAAAAAGATTAACATAAGGTATTATTATTCAGTGGATAGAAAGTGTCGATTTTGCAAGATGACAAAGTTCTAGAAAACTGTTGCACAACAGTGTAAATGTAGTTAACACTACGGAGCTGTACACTTAAAATAGTTAACATGGTCAATTCTATGCTTCATGTCTTATTTTTTACCACAATTAAAAAAAAAAAAGATGATCATCATCCCTGCCTTGCTTTCCTCCAGGCTTTTCTTGAGCATATACTTTTATTGTGGTGAAGAAGATTTTTAAAATGTATATTTTAATGTGAACATGATTTCCCATTAAAGTGAAAATCTGTATGTTATTTTTGAGAAGTAAATATGTATGCACAGGACATACACCATGCAGGTGACGTCCCTCCCCCTGCTCCTAGCAGCCCAGGGCTCTTCCTCACGGCAGTCACTTGTACTTGTTTTTTTACCTCTCTGTATAGGGGGCTTTCACTGACAGGGCAGAGGGAGGGCCACCCCAGTCTGAAAGACTCACCAAGTAGCAGGCAAATTCTCTGGCTCTGAGTTGGCTTCAGGAATCTCCTTCTGGGTGCCCCAAGGCTCCTTAGCCCCTCAACCTCTTCAGAATGTCCCTGGACACATCGGGGGTCTTAGTATTCACTTCCGCGGTAGGGAAGACTCAGAACTGGGAAGCAGGAGGGAGGGGGAGCAGAAAAGGAAGGAACCAGACACAGAATAAACTTCAGAACCAGGGCAGATCACCCAAGGCTGGGCTCCAAGGGTTGTGCAATAGTCTTGCCATGGGCTCTGACACCCTCCTGCTCCCCCTCCCCTTCCGGCAGCAGCTGGGCCAGGTCAGCCTGGGGTTACAGTTACAGGAACTGTACAGTGGCCAAGGGGCATCTGATTGCTGTCCCCTAACTCCAGGCCCACAGCGTCTCAATTGAGGAAGCTTCATGGAGGAAGCTCAGTTTAACACGTGGACTCCTGCTCAGGGACCAGCTAATAGTGCAGCCTAAGACATTCTCTTTCCCCACCGTCCTGGTGTCTTAGTAGGAAGGAACCTCTGAAAGGCTGAGAGGGCCTGAGAGTCAGTAAATGGTGTAGGTGGCAGAACGGCAGCTGGCATTTGGGTTAATGCTTTACATAGGAACAAGTGATATTCCCAATTAGCTATTTGGATAGACTAGATATAATCGTGATCACAGCATCAACACTACTTGTAGCATAGCTCATTGTGAAAATTAAAGAAGAAAACTATGCAGTGCCTGGCACTAGGCACCCCACAGACACAGTGGTAGTTTTATTTTTGTAGAACGGAGGCTGGTGGGCCCTTCAGAGCCCATGCAGTCGAACTGCCCTCATTTCACGGTGAAGGAAATGGAAACCCAAGGAGTTATCTTGGTTCAGCTGTCACTTGTGGGACTTTGGGCATGTGACTTCCCTTTGCTGGGCCCCAGCTTCTGTCTGCATCTGGTTTTGCTGAACGGTTTTAGTCAGCTCCAACGCCATATGAGGCCACGAGTCATAAAACTACACTGTGAGATCACAGCAGACTGGGTAGGCCGTTGGGACAGGCATTCTGGGGCTTTCTAGAGCCTCTCAAATCACAAGATAGGCTGCAGACTTTTTCCCTCACAAGTTAGGATTCTGAGCCCTGGGATGGAGCTACACTTAATATTCCAGCCTAGATAAACTGAAAACTGAGTTGCTTGACTTGTTCATTTTTCCTCTTAATAGCTCACCTGACACGCTGATCTAGCCTGGGGAGGAGACAGAATCTATGCAGAAAGTGGGGTATTGAGACCTCTCTGAGCAGACCTAATGCTTGTGGTCTGATGGGAGAAGGGAAGAAGCCATAGTTATTTATCTTTCGGGGCTGGGTGGGGGTGGGAGAGAGGCCAGGGGGCAAGGGCATCCTGTCCTGTTGGGTCAGGAGAGGCAGAGAGGTGACAAAGGAACAGGTTGGTTCTCTACAACCTGCCTCTGGGTCCCAAGTTGGGGATCTGGCAATTGGAACATTGGAATTTTGTTCCTCTTTCTGTGCTCCTTGGCTTCCCCCTTAAAGATAGTCACTGATCACAAAGTTCATAATGATGAGGGAGGCAGAGCTCTTGCCCTACACGCCCTTAACTTGAAACATGAGAGAGACTAGTTGGGAAGGATCTGGCCAAGCTGAAAGAGATTTTTAAAGATCATTTAGCATCTAGATTCTAGCCACCCTCCTCCCCCCCCCCACCATTCTGTAGATGGGAAAACTGAAGCTCAGAAGGCGAAGGTGACACATTCAAAATGACCAGGCTATGAACGGCCGAGTGGGGAGTACAGCCCAGACCTCCGAGAGTGCTGTGCAGGCGGCTCATTTCACTACTAACGGTGACATTCCTTGACATTTGAGCAGCATATCACACCAAACACAGCCTCCTTGTGTCCTGGGCATCATTTCCTCTAACTCCATGATGACAGCTTTTTCCTACACTGAAGATTCTCACCAATCCTAATCGAGGATCCAGTAAGGGGGCAAGGAGGTAAGTTTTGGAGAAGGAATTAATCTTCCTTTAGTCTCCTCTCCCATGGCCCTTTCTGTTCCAGACCTACTCCTGGTACCCTGGACAAGCCAGGCACACTCTTTCCCTCCACATTGCTATTATTTCCTCCACATTGACAGGTTCTCCCTAAATGTTCCTGACTTAAACTCACCTGACCTCTGACCTGGGGATAGAGGTGTACAACTGTTCTGAAGGATGATCTGGATATCTTAGTGAGATATTCTTTCGGGTTTCTCTGGGGAAAGGTGAAACGCTGCCATTGGTTTTCTGGTACCCCCATTGCTCTGTTGCAGGTACTCTTCCAAAAGAGTGTCTTAAGTGCCCAGAAATGTGGTCGAGAGAGGCAGGGTGGGCAGGGAGTCACAAAAAGCGTGGAGGGAATACAAAGATAACTCCTAAGATGCACAATTTCGCCACTGGAGGTCTTGTCACCACCATGGACTGGGAGGCCAAAGGTTGGGAGAAGAGTTGTAGGAATGGACATTAACATATAGTTGTAAGGAGACACAGGGATAGAATCTGAGCCGATTATCCCTTAAATAATAATGTCATTGGTACAACCCCCTCATTCAACCAGTGGGAAAATGGAGGGTCCCCCAGTGAGGAAATCACTTGCTCAAGGTCTCAGCAAGGAGGGGAAGAGCTGGGGCGACAAGCATCTAGTCCACAGATCTTCCCACTATAAGTTCTCTGTTGCCTGTAGGATGATTTAACCTTCTCTGAATATCATTTAAAGTCCTTCGGATGTGACCCTGCCTCTAGTCCCATCTCAGCACAGCTTTCCCTGGTGTCCTGTGCCCCTTGACACTGAGCTACAGGCCATTCTCAAAACACTCCTTGCACTTGCACACCTCTTGCCTTTGCTCGTACTGCTTTCTTGTTCAGGAATGCCCTTCTTTCCATCAGCATGATGAACCCCTACAGCCTTCAGGACGCAGCTCCGATGTCACCTCTGCAGAGCCTGTCCTGAGACACCACTTCCCCACTCACTAGCTAATTAGTCCCTCCCTCTCGTTCATTCCTAAAGTGGTTTGCATAAACCCCTGTTAGAGCACCATGCTGTACTGAAATTCTATGTGTGTATCTATATAGAATATATATATGTGTGTGTGTTTATATTGTCAGGCATGAGGGCGGGCACCTGCCCTACATTTCTTTATTCCCTGGGCCTGAGTGCATAGTAGGCGCTGAAGAATAAATCAATCAATTTTTCTTCTTGTTAGACCATTCCCCTTCGGCACACACATACACATTCATGAAAACCACTTACGTTATTTAAAAAAAACAACAACTTCAAGGACAGGCCAAAACAGATTCCATTTGGTTTAGAAAAGAGGAGACTCAAAGGAGAGAAGCCATCTCAGCCAGGTGGGGAAGTGAGGCAGGGCAGGAAGAATTCTAAGCCTCCTTTGGAAACCCAGACATTCCCTGACCTGAACACCATTCAATCAAAGGACAAACATTCTTGGCCCCAAAATACTGGCAGTGGCTTTGCAACCTACTTCCCTGTGTACCTACCCAGGGTGTGGCCACACACACCCACCCACTGCACACACACAACTCCCAGTCACACAGCCTGTGAGCTTGCCTTTCAAGTGTTCCTTTCATGGTTCTAATCTTGGCTGTGTGCTTGGCTATGTGACCTTGAGCACTGTACTAATGTTCTCTGGAACTCATCTATGAGATGGGATAATTACCCCTGATTACTTCGCATGAGACCTGGGGCAGACATTGGGGGGGAAGGTGTTTTAGAACATGCAAAGTATTATATAAACATAAGAGATAATTATTGGGCAGCCTGCTCCCCTTGTTTTCCTCCCCACCCAGCCAGCCCAATGTTTCCAAGAACAGCCATCTCTATGTCCCCTCTCCCCACCCTTGGTACTTGTACCTTCAGAAGAAACCAGAGTTTCATATTATCCTTCTTGATTCTTCAGAAGCCTTCCTTGTCTTTCATCCTCTCCGATCAGTCCTATAAGTCTCTTTCCATTTAGGGGTACCCTTCCATAGTCCTGTGGTTGCTGGAGAACACATCAGAGTGGGAATTAGGAGACCTGACCCTATTTCACCAATGTGTCTAGTTACGCATCTTGGTTAAGTTGCTTCTCCACTCTGGGCCTCATTTTCCCCAGTGGTAAGATGGGGTTTCTTGTCTCTTAGCAGGTTTTTTTTTTCAGTTTGTGGTTAGAAATGTGTTTTGAGATGTGTGGAGTGAGTGAGGATGAAGAAGGTTGTGGATGTCTCAAGGAGTCAAGAAAATGTGAAAGCTCTGGCACTGGGTCTCCTTCATTTGGAGGGACAGAGCAGCTGGGTGCTGGGGCGCTCGGGCGTTTACAACGAATCTGTGCAGGTGAAGTGGGGAAAGTCCTGGGTTAGGCGGGAGACTTGGGCTCTTTTCTGTTCCCTGGTATGGTCCTGGGCAAGTCATCTCCCCCTGGAGTAGGTTGGGAGAACAGAAGGAGATACTCTCCATAGCCCTCAACACAAGGGTGAAAACAGATTCGCAGGTGCAGACCCTTTTCCTCTCCAGTCCCAGGGAGCGCACTGGCAACGGGGCCCAGAGGCCCGTTTTATGCGCGGTGATCCAAGAAAAGCAGCGCAAGGCACAGAGCGGGCGGGCGACCCGCACAGGTTTACGACCCTAAACGAACTCATCTCCTGATTCCCACCCTAGACCTATGTTATTAGCAGCAGGAGACGCTTTGGAGAGTCCCCCGGCTTTCCCAGGGCTGGGGCGCATACAGGCGGTAGCCAATGGGCACATGTCTCTGCGGAGCAAGCGGCTCTGTCAGGTATGAAAACTGGCTGAGTCCCGGAGTGCCATTTCCGCATGTGCACTCCCTGCTCACCCACAGGTGCTCGCTTGCATATCTGTGGATGTGCAAGAAGCTTTCGTGCCACCCTCCAGCACTCCCACAGTTTTCAGGCGGGGCGGGCCTGGAGCCCAGCTCCACACGCGGGCGAAAGGCCCCAGGAACCCCGCTGCTCCGTCCTGGGGAGGACAAGCTTCATATCTGAACTGTCCCCTCCTCGGCTCTACAGTCTCAAAGGAGGCGAGAATATACCTCATTTCTAACTCCCAGCGCCAGCTCAGCCTTCCCAACCCTGCGGGTGTGTGTTACCTGCCTCTCTGCAAGGCTCCGGGGGGTGCCGCTCCCTGTCCAGCAGGGTGCACGACACTGCACCCTTAGATCCTTCGGCTCGGCCGAGCCCAGCCCAGCACCGCCCCGTGCCTCCTCGGTTCTGGGGACAGACACGCGCTTTGCTCCCTTTTTCTTTCCCTGGGGCGTCCCCTCCCCCGGCCCCGCCTGCTCCCCAGCACACCTCCTTCTCCTCTGGCTGGCTTGGGACGCCTCCGCCCAGCTGCACAGCCTCACCCCGCTGTGAGTTCAGACTCTTCCGTCCCCTGCAGCGCCTGCTTCCTGGACCTTAGACGGAAAGCTTCTCGCTTCGCATCAGCTTGTCCAGCCTCCAGAAAGCGAGGGTGAACTTGCATGCTGGTGGAATCAGGCTCTGCTCCTTGTGGCTGCGTGGTGGTGAGCAAGTCTCTGCTCCTCACTGGGTCCTGTCTTTCTTGTGATAAAATAGGTAGAATTCGTGCATACATCCCTCACAGGGTGATGGTTAGGGTCAGATGAGATCTCAGAATCCAAAGCATTAAAGCCGAATGGTCCCTGGAGAAGTCGGATTCTAACACAGAGGCCCAGGTTGGGAAGGGAATTGCCCAGGCTGACCCAGGACGTTTGTGGCAGAACTTATGTCTCCTCCCTCCAAGTTTCAACATTGTTGTTTTTTTTTTAAAAAAAATCCTCACTGAGGACATTTTTTCATTGCTTTTAATGAGAGGAAGGGAGAGAAAGAGAAACGTTGATTGGTTGCCTCCTATACACACTCCCACTGGTGATCGAACCTGAACCCACAACCCAGGCATGTGCCCTGACCAGGAATGGAACCTGAAACCTTCCAGTTTACAGACGAAGCCGCAGCCAACGGAGCCACCTGGGCCCCAGCTCAGTAGTTCTTTACATGCCTAAATACTAGGCATCCAGCCCCACACCTCACTGGTCCCTGCCCAGAACACCCTTCACTTTCTGGCCACCAGGCTCACTCAAACTGCCGCTCCCTTGCTGGTGACTCTGCAGGCTCCAGAAAGGAGAAGCAACTAGGGACAGCTGGGAAATGGCCAGGAGGCTAAGCGCAGGGGAGTGGACAGAGGCTGGGAACAGCCTCTCGGGGACTCTGTGGGGAGTCCCTCTCAGATCCCTCTTTACCAGCCTGTGGCCTTGGGAGGACTAAGAACAAACAGGCCAGCTCTTGCTCCCTGGCAGACAAAGATCTGTTCCAGGACATCTGAGGTACATGCCCAGGATCACAGAATCTCAGATTACATCTGGGCTTCCCTTGGGGCTATCATCTTGAAAAGACCTACCACCTGGACAGAATGTTATACAAAATTGTTAATCTTGATCAAAAGCCTGTTATTGCTGTGGGTGCATATTTTGACCCAGCTACTCCTTTTCCTCAGCCTGGAAATCACCTCAAGGGAAGTCATCCTGAGCCTCCACATGGTCTCAGATTTCATTCTGGCTAAAACTCACCTTGGAGCTCACTTTAGTAAAGTAGCCCTTTGGGTTGCACTCTAGAGGTTCAGGAGATTTGGAAGGGTAGCTCAGAAATTAGCACTAAAAAAGAAAAAGATTCCCAAATTACTTGAATGCAGGTGGTTCTTGACAGCCTTGAGAAAATAACCCTCGCTCAGTTTGGGTTCCTTCTCACAGTCTGCTCAGGGCCTTGGATAGGACTACTTATTACAGTTATCAAAAGTAACTATTGCCCTGGCCAGTGTGGCTCAGTTGGAGCATTCTCTCATATACCAAAAGTCACTGGTTCGATTCCCAGTCAGGGCACATAGCCAGGTTGCTGGCTCGTTCACTGGTTGGGGAGTGTAAGAGATGGTGGCCGATCAACGTTTCTCTCTCACGTTGATGTTTTTCTCTCTCTTCCTTTCTCTCTCTCTAAAGCAGTGAAAAACTGTCCTCATGTGAGGATTAAAAAAATTAAAGAAAAGTAACTATTTGCCCACTTCATCAATTGGGTTGGGATTTCTTCAAAGATAAGGACTATCTCTTGTTCTAATAAAATTTTAGAGTCATAGTCTTCTAGAATTACTTAGTGGTAGAACCTAAGTTGGAAGGACTCTTAGAGTTAACCAGTTAAATCCTTTCCTTAAGAATCTTCTATATTTCATTTCGACATGAAATTGTGCAGTGTCTTTCCCACACCTGTAGTGACAAGAACTCAGTGCCCCCGAGGCAGCCCAGACTCTGATCGTTAGGATGGTCTCACATTTTGACAAAAACTGCTTCTTGTTGACTTCCACCTTTGGCTCTTCTGTCTACTGGAGACATAAAATATATGCTTAATCCTGGTTCTCTTTTTTAGTTCTTCGGAAACTTAAGTTTTCCTCCACTTCTCCTTCTCTGCAGTGAGGATGGGGCAGACATCCTGTTAGGGAAGGCGGCTGGCCAAGGGGCCATTGGAAAGCAGCAGCTTCTGCTGTTATTCGATGAGAAAGAGAAGGATGAAACCAATACTTTCCTGGGGACCCTCGTCTGAGAAGACCCTTGGAACTCTAAGTTCAGGACAGGGGCCTGCTCCTAGGACTCGAAGGGTAGGGAAGAGTGGTGGGCTAACGGGAAAGATTCACATGGAGATACAGCTTCTTCTTCAAGTCTTCACTGTGGCAACACCCTCTTGGTGTGGCCTTCCCTGAGCATCCTGTTTACAAACTCTCATCCCCCCTTTTTCTGTCCTCCCTGACCTCCTTCCCTGCCTCGTTATTCAACAATACCTAACATCATTTTATATATGTGACTTATTCTTAAAAGATCTTTTGCTGTTGCTGCTCTTGCTTCATCCCTCACCTGAAGCCCAGAGCTCCTATTGGTCCAACCTCAGTGCTCTGCTCTCACCAGCTCTGGGTTCCTGCAGTCACCCCCTTTTCTCTCCCTTTGAGGCCTGGGGAGGCAATAATGCCCAAATGCTTCAAACCCCAGGGTACTTCACCACTCCTTCTGGTTGTCCTACCTCCTGCCCACCCCCTTTAAAGAGGGCCTCGTCAAATTACTGACATGAGGTGACCATCTGCTTCCTGCTTGACCCAGGTGATACGGAGGCCCCTTCTCCTCTAGCCCCTTGCTTTTTACTTGACCACGACACTTGCTGTTCTGTGTTATAATTTTCTACTCTATTTGTTGATGCCACACCTACAACATAAGCTCCTTGAGAACCAACAAACACTAAGCCAACACAGTGTTGACTTTTCTGAGACTTTATTGAGTGAATGAATGAATGTCGTGAAAGGAAAGACCACGAGGAATTACATTATCAGGGGAAGCTTCCAAGAAGAGGTAGACCTGAGAAAGCCTGACAGGATGATAGGTTGCTTTTTTAGCCTCTAGTCCAGACCTCGCCTCTGAACACTAGACTCCTGTATCCAACTACCTACGTGGCATCTCACGTTGGGGCTGAAACTCTTGACTTCCTTCTCTGGCTTCCCTCATTCTTCCCTCAGTAAATGGAACCATCATCCAGCCACTTCTCTGTTTTCTTTATAGAACTCCACCCAGTCATCTACTGCTTTGGGGTCTGCCTTTCCCGTGAGACTGTAAGCATGAAGAGAACACAAACCAGGTGTGTCTTTTCCCCATAGAATATCCAGGATGTAGCCCATTTCTATCTAGTTGGTAGGGAGAAGGGTCAGGAGGTAGGGTGAGCGTGGGTGGTGTCTGTCAACAGTCTCAGATGCTTGGGTCCCCAGGGAAAATGCAGGGCGAATCACAGAGCACATCTAATGGTCACATCAAGTTATTTTACTCCATTACCTTCAGGAGCCCAAGTCTGTGCTTCTGTGATCTCATCTCCTCTTGGCCTGTCAGCTGTGACCCTCAGGACACTTTGTGTTATTCTGTGCTTCTCCCTCCTCCTGCCTCTGCAGGCAGCACAGAACAGTGAAGAGAACACTGGATGAGGTGGAGCAAGGGCCAGATGGAGTGGTGGCAGGAGACAGGATGTTGGTGACCTCTTCTGCCCACCTCGCCCTCACACAGGCTGTGTCCGGGGAAGCAAGGTGGCACAGTGGTCCAGAACACGGCCTCTGGGGGCCCACAGACCTGTATTTGAATCCTAGTCCTGCCACTCACTGGCTGTGAGAGCTTAGCCTCTCTGAGTCTTCGTTTCTTCATCCGGACAATGAGGATAAAAACACCTATGGTACATTTTATGGTTGTGCAGATTACAGTAGGATATTGTATGTACGGTGCTTCATCTGGTAACTGGCACATGACTAGTGCTCCATAACTATTGACGAGGGCATGTACGTGTTCATGGTTGTGTAAAAACAGACTTTGAATCTTATGGTTTGAACAATAAGGGCTATGGGAATGGAGAAGAAAGTGGGGTCAGTGAGAACTAGGGTTTGCAGGGGAGGTGGATGTTATCAGTCAGGAATCATAGTTGCAACAGAGAGAAAACCCAACTCAAACTGACTTAAGTAGAAAAAAGAATTTACTGGCTCATGTAATTACAAACTCCAGAGGGACTGCTTCAGGCATGGCTGGACCCAGGAGCTCAGACAATGTCCTCAGGAGGCTGTTTCTTTGCATCTTTGGGCTTCGCTCTTCAGACTATTGCTCCATTCTCAGGCAGGGTTGAGCTTTGTGGTAACAGGATGGCTGAGTTCTATGTATACCCTCTATTCTGGCAGTAAAACCAGTAGAGAGAACTTCTTTCTCCCACAGCCCTGCCAGCAGAAGTCCCAGTCAGGTGCTTTTCAGTTGTGAAACAGGCCTGAAATTGGTGCCTGTCCTTGCACCAATCACAGAAGTCAGGGGGAAAGCGTGGCAGAGGCAACATCTCTATGCAACCCATATAAACTTGGGTCAGAGAAATGGGTCAAGAAGGTCAAACAGTATGAACTTCCAGTTAAAAATAAGTCATGGGGGATATAGTGTACAACATGGTGACTAGATGACTATAATTAATAATACCGTATTATACAATATATTTGAAGTTGTTAAGAGAGATCTTAAAAGTTCTCATCACAAGGAAAAAATTGTAACTGTGTATGGCAACCAATATTAATTAGACTTATTGTGGTGATCACTTTGCCATATATACAAATATCAAATCATTACATTGTACACCTGAATGTAATATAATGTTATACATCAGTTATACCTCAGTTAAAAAAACATACAAACTTGAAAAGTTT